GGAGAGCCCAGGGCTGGGCTGGCAGGGGGCTGTGGGTCGGGAGTGAGGGGCACCGGCAGAGCTGGGGGGTGGGGAGCCCAGTGCTGGGCTGGCATGGGGCTGTGGGTCGGGAGTGAGGGGCACCAGAAGAGCTGGGGGGTGGATCCCCAGGGCTGGGCTAGTGGGGCTGTGGGTCGGGAATGAGGGGCACCGGAAGAGCTGGGGGGTGGACCCCAGGGCTGGGCTGGCAGGGGGCTGTGGGTCGGGAGTGAGGGACACCGGCCGAGCTGTGGCTGGGGGGGGGGGGGGCTGCAATGGGGGCGGAGCAGAAGGAAGCCAATTGAATTGCAGCTAAACGGAGTTTTTGGGGAGGGAATTTCCTTGGGTTTTTAATCATTATTGAGTAACCCAGCAGGGAACGGCTGCGTTACTGGATCAGCGGGGCAGGGGCCAAGGGGGGGTTAGGGTGTGGGGGCGTTGTGTGGGGGAGGGGATGAGGGGGGCATGGGGGCAGATGCTCGTAGAAGGGGGGCTGGAGCTGGATCACCCCCGTTTCCTTTCTCTCCGCAGCAGACGCCGTCTCCGCTCAGGGACAGGGTGAGTGAGAGCCAGACGGAGCCGAGCCACGGAGAGCGGGACTGCGGGGGGGAGAGGCCCCCCACACACAGCACAGGGCTCAGCCCCTCCAGCAGGGGGCAGCAAACACACCCACTGGCCCCGCTCCCCGCAGCACAGCGCCCCCTGCTGAGCCCCCCTGCTCCCCACAGCACAGCGCCCCCTGCTGAGCCCCCTGCTCCCCACAGCACAGCGCCCCCTGCTGAGCCACCGCCCACTCCCCACAGCACAGCGCCCCCTGCTGAGCCCCCCCCGGCTCCCCGCAGCACAGCGCCCCCATGCTGAGCCCCCCGCCCCGCTCCCCGCAGCACAGCGCCCCCCTGCTGAGCCCCCCGCCCGGCTCCCCGCAGCACAGCGCCCCCATGCTGAGCCCCCCCGCTCCCCGCAGCACAGCGCCCCCCTGCTGAGCCCC